AATAAAAATACACCTCTAAAAGGGACTCGTGTAGGGAACGTATGTACATCTGAATTTTTAATCACATAAATGCACCACTTTCGATGATTACAGCGTTAAAGCAGTAAATTTTGCAACGATTTTCACATGGTATGTTAAATCTCATTATACTCGCAATGTCATCAACTCGTTAATTCAAAACGAAATCTGCGTTGACGACATTTGCCAACTGGCGTACATATGTTGTAAACATAAAACGCACATGCGGATACGCGAAATATAATATAGGGATACCAGAGTTGTGTACTTCCGACAATATGCCATACTGCATTGGCTAATGTTGCGTCGATAACGTTTATCAGAAATCTGAAATTATGATGCGAATAGAGAGAATTTTCCGATGAAGAATTTTATTTACAACGAGATTATAAATTCCTAATATAATATTCACGATATTTGATAATGCGTGGTAAAGCATGTTCATAAACAAGGTTTCCATCGTAGATATTTTTGAATATACAAATGATAACGATAATTATTTATAATTTTTTCAATAATGATAAAATAATATTCTTCAATTATCCCTACACAGTTGGAAAATTTGTGTTTTCTTGTTAAAAAAAATTCCGGTTAAAATTTTTGTGTTAAATGTTTAACATATTCATGTGTTAATTGACCGCAAGTGTAAAATTATTAAAATAACTGAAAAGAAATGTTAAAACAACACAATGTGTACTTATTTTTTAATCTTACACAATACATATGTTCTATATTATTAGTAACAAAATTTATCTGTTCAAATTTACAGAATAAAATGTTGATTTTATTCTATATAACATAAGTGAGAGTAATTTCGAACAGCCATTTGAAATGTAAAAATTACATTTTGTAAATTCATTTTGTCATCAAAAATATGTTAATTTTACAGAAAATGTATTTCAAATTATTTTAAGATTCACATTTATTTTGTGTTAAAATATTAACAGAGTATTAGTGTGATCATTTAACATATCCATATTATGTTAAATAACACAAAAATTTGTGTGGACTGTTTGGGACGTGTGATATTTGTTACATTTAACACAAATTTTTCAACTGTGTATAGTAATTAGAAACCTTAATTATTTAATAAAAATTCTAAAGTTTTTGGCTAAGTTGTTTAAATAATAGAGAATTAACGTAAAAGTATTATACACACGAACTATACCATAAACGTTAAGACACTCTTTGTCTTTTCTGTTCGACAATCTGCTTGATTTCTTTTGGCATTTGTGCGACTGTCTGACAACCAGTCACCATTCACCATTTTTACGCCTACTGATACGTGGAATTGTTACGCGAAGTAGATACACGACGTGAGATTGCTGTCTTTACGAGTCCCAGGGGAACGCTTCTGTCAACGGCAACCTGCAGCGGGGATTAGTCACTCTCCTCGGTGTCCTACGGTACTACTTTCGTATTAGACGAACCGTCATGGCGGAGAACAGGACCGAGCGAAAGAGCGCGAGAGAAAAGGCCTTTCCGCGGTTGCAATCTCGCGGCGACAATTACGCAGCGGTAACGAAACGACTGCTCAACGCGTTGTAATACCACTGCAACGCTGATAGGCGAGATTAAACCGCAGCTTGTTTAATTAGAGCGTTCTCGTTCGGGAGGATCAAAATTCTAACTCTTTGCATTTTAATATTTCCAACAAAATTCTACGAGTTTCTCTTCTGTTAACGTTGTACGCGTAAAACTAAATTAACTTGTCTTATCGAGGAATTCTATTAATAATCATGCAATTTTATTAAATAGTTAATGACAAAAGTATTTCTTTATTAGTTTTATAAAAGCCTTTGCGCGCTGAAATGAAAATGTAATATACTTTTAACGTTTCCAGTATTGTCAGTAATATTTTTAGTAAAATGTGAATTCTGAAAACTACATTTGGTATTAAAAATGAACAAAATAGAAGCACATAAATCCCCGGCTATTGTTTACCACAAGTGACTTGATTTACCGAGTGCTTTGTCACTGATTGCGCGATCGGAAAATCTACGTCGATATATCGCGCATCTCCTACATATTTTATATATTAAAAACGTCACACGGCTTTGTCAATCAATATTACAATCTCGATATAGAAGTAGAAATGGGAGCCGCGCGCCCTTCGATATTTGTCATATACTGCGCGCGCTTTTATTTTACATCGGCCAGAGATTTTTCCGTATTTATTTTGAGTGGATTTTTTATCGTGCGCTCGCCGAAAAACTCGCGGCGCGGACGAAATTCGAAGTTAAACGTCACTTTACAATCCGAGCGGGACGCATCGCCAGTACACGACGAATAAAATTCGTATTTTTCCCATATCAATATTTGCAAAACTTCTCTATATCCGATCAAAATCCCGGCGTCGCAGCCTATCGACGGTAAAGCACGTACGGGAGGGGCAACAGGCAAAAAAATTTTTTTATCATCGTTCCACCGTGATGGACTATAATCAAATCGATAGCTCGGTGCAACAAGGTTGTAACTCAAAAACAAATTATTTTTTAAGTGTCCATCGATGGGACGCTATATGTCGCTTCCTAATAAAATGGTGTTGTAAGTCAGGCGCGACGAGCCAGAAAATTATTCCAGGGCAGATTTATATCTTGTATTTTAGAAATATTTGTCCGAATACTTGGACACAAGGTTCAGCTTCTTCACGAAAATTTTTCGTTCAGTGAAAACGTCGTTACATGTGTGAGAATTTCTTATTCTCTATGTTTAGTTTTGTAAAAAGTAAGATCGCATTTTGCAAGTATGAAAAATATACTCTCTTAATTAAAGTCAATCGGTGGATTATTACTGAAAACAGTGAATAGTCACTGATTTGCAGTTATAAATAGACCACTGAAAATCGCAGTGGTATACTTGAATCAATCGGTGAATTATCACTGAAAAACGGCGAATAGTCACTGATTGAATTTAGAGAGTATCTTCTCAATATGCACTGAGAGAGGGGGAGAGAAACTTAATATTTCGAGTTACAACATTTTTACAGCACGCTATTAACATCTAACGCGCGTGGCGAATAAATCGAGTTGGTCAATGGATCGAAAGGCAATGCTCGTGGAGAGTAGGAGTTTAAATTTGTTCTTGGCACCCGCTCGGCTGACGTTGCGGGAGATATTGCAGGAGTGGATAATTTACTCGATTATTTAATAGCTTTGGCTAGGGCTGCGAGCCAAGACTTTACACGTACAGCATACTACGGGGCAGCACGACGTGCGCCTGGTTGTTGCCAACTTTTGTGAATGGAATTATGACATAACGTCGACAAAATTGCACTCTTTCGAAATCATGTTACGGTACGTCGCCCAAGTAGGAAACGCATAAAATACACTTATGTACGCGCAATAATAATTTAATTAGTAGATCAAAGTAGTTAAAAAGTGTATCAACTGCTACACGTAAAAAATTCTTATATTATAGACAATTTATTAAATATTATCTTACATTACGCATTGCAGTTTAATATAAATATAAACTTACAATCAAATTCCCTTTTTCCCCAAAAATCGGAGTACTGTTAAGAAATTTAATTTTTTATACTTAAAATACTTTATTCATAAAAAAAAACACAAAAGGAGATGTTCTTTACGTTGCTTCGTATTCTGAAAATATTTCCATATTTGTCAACCACGAACTTTTAGAACGTTTAACTAGTTTTCAGGAAATATGACATTTATAAATATGATAGTTTCAGTTATTCGCGTCAGCTCTTCAATTATAACATGCTAAACAACGCCACATGTACCGTCCCAGAATGGGATTCCATATTAAACCTCTTTCGCCGTCGGATTACTCATTACCGCGCTAACAACCTCGGGAACGTGCCGACCTTAATCACGATTCACAAATTAATCTCGCGGTACCGCCGACCGACGGTATCGTTTGTTGACGGCACCGTCTAGCCAAATATATTACCTACTAGGATCCGGAAGACGTGCGAGTAAGTTATGATTGTGTGCATGGAGATTACCCCTCCGACTTCGGCAAATATATCCGTTGTACCGGTTGTAATTTAATCGTCGGAATGTCAAGAATTCGACGCGATAACCCTCCCGAATTTCCTGCGCACAGAAACGCTGAAAAAATCGTTAGGCCAACATGAAAAGGGTGATAAAGAGTGGGAACGTTGCTAATATTCCCAGAGAACCGAATAGTCAGCCAAGAATAATTTTGATTAAAGCATATGTATATTGTATTAAAATACATATAGTTAATTTGTTATTTTCGTTTGATTTAACTTCTTAATTCTTAATTCTCAATTCCCACAGTTAAAGTCTCTATTAGCATTAATATATCATTAGTAAATAAATAGCAATTATAATTTGCATTCATAAGGAGAAATATACTAAAACAGCAATAGTTATAATAACGATAAGATAGAAAATAGTTTCAATTCTTTTAAGTATTTCGTATAATATCGGTGTTCGAGCGAAATTTGATTATCGTAATAGGTAATTAAGTTCTATTAGGGTCAAATTGACCGGAAATGTGCACAAGAATTAATATAATCCTTCTTTCAACTGAGCTTGATCCACTCTCGATTTAACATCAATATTGAATCGATACTGGTTCGTTTCACGTTGAACTTTACAAGAAGCTGTATAATCTTACCACAAGAACGCTAATTGCCTTTCTATTAGTACAGGAAAATGTCAGACTTCATTTAATGAAGGCGCTCATTGAAATTGAGCACTGGCAAGTGAAAGATTGTACAGAATCTCAAGAGATTTATTTTTCCATCAAATTAGACTGGTAATATAATTTTAAATAGACAAGTGATTTGAGAAAAGCAATTAAAATTTGTATGGCTCGTATTAATCTTTTCTTTCTTCATTGATTGGAGACCAAGCGAGCCTTCGCGTTCTTACTTGAAATAATAATTTAAGGAACACTTTCGATAGTCTGGGATGTGTTGTAGGTGACATCTTCTTATTAAAAATAACCACAGTGTGTCTAGAATTAATGTGAATATTTGCTTGCAGGTGGAAATGGCGATGTCGAGGATTCGGATACCGACGTGCAGGACTACAGCACGGACGAGGACTACAACGATGTTTTTGACTCGACAACTAACGGGTGAGCCTTGTATATAGCTTGCAAGCCCTATCGTCTTATCGTCTTATCGCAGGATTAAATACGAAACACATATCCGTCTAACTAGCGCCCCGCTTAATTAGCAATTAAAATTGCTATTGATCGCGTCTATCCGCGATGACCGAAGACTTCCTTCCTGCGTCCGGGCGAAATTGCCGAGACAGGCAAGAAACCGACCCGGAGAACCCTTTTTAATTGCGTTACGCTTTTACACATACACTCTCTCGGTCCTTCCTGTTTTTTTTTTGTGGGAATTCCTCATTACTAAAGCGGGAAGACGAGATAAGAATACTTCATTGACCGCTGAACCACGGTCAAAGTATAGGATAATCGGCTTATCTTGAAGCTGAAAAGAAGCGCAAAGGATATCTGCAATGGGATATCTGCTTGGACATTTGCATCAACATTAATACATTTTATGTATTGGATTAATTAATCCCATATCGTCAGTTGCGCTTATTTTTCTATTTATTATTACCTAATAAAATGCGAAATTTAGATTTTTTAAATACGGATGGATATTTCTTCCATACCCGTAAGATAAAGTAAGAAAATACATATTTTTTAGTCGATGTCCAAAACATAACAAAATTTTACATAAATAAACAATAAGTGTTCGTTAGGAAAATATGGAAGAGCACACACACACATATGTATCATAACAATATTCATCTCGAATTTAGATTGGAAAATCTAAATTTCTTCGACATCTTTAAGTGATCTGAATCCGGTCGATCGGACGTCAAAAGTGAAGAATGACATGACATTCGCACAAAAAGAAGGAAAATGATATAAAGGAGTCGCGAAATATTTCAGAGATTTGTTTCTGCCATATGACAGCAAACCGAGACAAGGACAAGAGGGAGAGGAACCCCGCGGGGCTTAATAAGGAAGCGACTTGATTGGTTCGATTCGAAAGCTAATAATGCCACTTCCCCGCGCAGGCAAGCCCCGTTTGGAACTGCAAAGGCTGCCGCGCGATTAAATTTGAATTCTCTGTCCCCCTTTCCACCCCCTATGAGTAAGCTAATTTGCGAAGGACGCGTCGATAGAGCCAATCGAAATTCCGCAGTTCAAATTTCATATCCGCGTTTTCCCCGGGCACACCGACTGGCGAAGCAGGTTTCCGACAGGCTTCTCCGCGCTCACGGTATGAGTTTACAGCGGGATGAAAATATATTCGAAAATTCCCATCTCTCGGGGATGTCCCTTCGCGCCCGAGATTTCGAGGAGAAAAGTCGCGCAATTTCCGCGCCGCGCGTTGCAACTCGCGCCGTGCGATTTTCTCCCCGCGAGAAGTCGGTATCGACGTCTTGTCGCAATAAATCAGTTTTGTCGTTACGTTGGAAAATTTAATATCGAAATCAACGTCGAGCGGAGCGAAAAAGTTCCAAATTCATCGAAGGATCGGCACTTCAAACGTCATTCGTTAGTTCCGGGACATTCTTGCGGTACTAAAAATTCTAGTATACTTTTTTAATTTCCTGCCGACATTTCTTCTTTTTAAAGTCTTTCACCTTATCAAATAGAAAACCTCACAATTTATACAGTTTGAGACTTCTCTGCAATTTTCTCTTATCAGAATTCGACATCCTGTCGCAATAAATCAGTTTTGTCGGTCAGAAAATTGAATATCGAAATCGAATGTCGCGCACGAAGGGAAAAGTCTACATCGTCTTTTTTCTTAATTGAAAGGTATCAGTCATTTTAAAGTTATAAACGATTGGAGGTGATTTTTTTATATTAATTAAATTAATGTAACCCAAATGACGCTCTATGCAATATAATAAATAAAAAAAACTAATGTGTTCTTAGATAGACTTAGCATAGTGTTTCCCGCACGCAAGAGTGGCACGTGAATCGATATTACGGAGCACAGATTTATCACGGTATATATTTCGACACGATAATACACTCGTCGTTATTGAAATTACATGCCATAAAACGCGCGTACGACACCTTGCTTCCAAGACAGCGTATATATCTTTGGCCGTTTCGTAAAATTTATATCTTCCTTTCGCCTAGTCGTACTCAAGGAAAATATATTTCGGAGATCTATACACAGTTATATATAATCTCTTAATGCGGCAGAATTTTCACTTATTTCGCGCTGATGTCCATGAATTATTATCGCGCATAAAATATTTTTCACAAAATACGAGCAACTCGGATAAAAATAATGCAAAAACCGCGCAGCAATCGTTTTTAATGTAACGGCGTAAAAAATAAAACATTAGTCAATTAATATATTATAGAACTTACACGGAACAGTTTTGCTGAAGTATCTAAGAATTTATAGCTAGATGCAGACTTGAAAGTAATTTTGCTGGAATATTAAAATTATGTAGGACAAGCCAATTGCTAAAATATCAACATTTTTTGCAACATTATCATCGCTTGAGCGTTTAACATAATTATTTTGATGATGCAACAAAATTATTTCTAGATCTGTATCTAGCTAAATAGACACTTCAGCAAGACTATCCTTTCCGTCCTTTCTTTTCTGTAAATAAATAAATTGCTATTGTATTGCATAAATATATTATACATCGTAAATACGTTACAGCTGTATTTTGGGTTTAGCAAGTTGAAATTTAATATGTGTACAAAATTTAGACTGCGGTATAATTTCGTACACTTTATGTTAAATCATGTGTGGTTAGGTAAAATTGCCGTTGCGATCGTCTACGATGATCAATTTTAATCGCATCAACCCGAGGTTATACTCAAGTTTGCTGTCACACAACTTTGGCTTTACACCATACCCCTCCAAAATATCACGTTTACGCGCTTACGCGAGAGAGGCATTAGTTTACATCATTACATCGCGACATAATGACACGGTAATGGGTCGGCCGCGATTGAAATTACGCGTCCTAGTCGATCGTGGTGACACATTATGGTCGTGATACCGATAGGATGCCGAGGCCACACACGCGGCCCACTGTGTGCGCGTTTGTACTTGCGTATGCGCACGCCTTTGTGTGCGTGCGTATGCCTGTATGTATACAATATCAACATACACTTCTCCAGTGCGATCACTATACATTATTCCACCCTAAATGCGGCATAGCTCCCATTAATATTGATGCCCGGTTGGCCGTGGGCTTCTACGAGTAGCCACATCTCTATACGGGATGTTAAGCAAGAATAGATCTCCATCCTGGAGAAGCCCTTATAATCGTACGATTACGCTGCAGTCGCTTGGGGAAAAATCCAATCCGATCAAGCTGGATTAGAATATTCGAGATACATATAAAGTCAGGAGCACTGATAATACTCTCCAAAAATTTAGATCGTCTTCCAAATTGTGTGTGTGCGTGCGTGTAAATATACACGGAGAGAATTTTCTTTTAAAATTTACCCTGAAAATCAAGTAATCGTGGCATTTTCAAGAACTTTATGAGAGTTTTTTGAAAGTTTACCATACATTTTACTAGTAAAATGTATACTAAGTATAATTACTAGTAAAAGGTATGGTAAAATTTCAAAAAACTCTCATAAAATTCTTCGAAACGCCGTGTTGCCCCACAATTACATGAGTTTTTCAGGATAAACTTCAAGAGAAAATTCTCTCATCCGCGTAGATGCGAAAATAAACATAAATATTGGTACATGTATTATAAAAGCAAAATTAATTACGTGAGGGAAGCCAAGTGTTAATCGATTCGTCTATTAACGATTATTCGGACGCGATTCGTGGCACAAACTTGTACAGCCGCAGTATCACCGGTAATAATCATTGGCACGATATTGTTTACCTCTAATTTGGATGTAAATGTTACGGCGTGCGTTGCTTCCCAATGAACATTGAGTACGCTAATGTTGCAACAACATGTTGGGGTTTGAAAATGACAGCAGCACTCAATACTACTCCACCACCAGTCTCCAATCATGCCGTAATAGAAACCATTATTTATATCATTATAATAATAAATACGTGATATGTAATAAAGATATAACTGACATAAATTGCTTAACAATTGTCGTGTATAATATTACGTATCAAGCGAAACGATATACGAGAGGAAATTACGAAATAAGCTTCGATGGCTCATATTCCCACCGCACGTTAAACGTCAAATACATCCGCCCTGTCCTGAGTTTTATTCCTAACGCGAGAATCATATCGGACGATCATATTTAATACGAAATGTTCCCCTAATAATGTAACTCTCTAAATATTCGAGAAAAATCATCGCTAATAAATAACGCGAGTTGTTGCGTTTTATTGACGGTATAACAAAATTATACTCTCGTTGTAAATAAAGCAGAGGGAATTTTCAAAAGTGTATTCAGTGAAAATAATTGATAAAGGAATAATGAGAATAATAACGCCGATACAGAGAAATAAAATTTTGAAATATTGGAGAGTGCGCTCAATCCATTACGACTTTCCACTCTACAATTTGTACGTTTCCTCCCCGCATTAACTTTAACTTTCCAAGCAGGCGAGCGGGAAACAAGCTCCGCCACTTAAAATGTTGTCTCCGACATTGGGGTGCGGGACTAGCTCGTCGTTGAGCGGTCGGAGGGGAAAGGGTGGGTTAAACGTTGCATTATTTATAGAAACCCTGCAACCTCCTAATCTCCGTCTGAGAAGGTCTTCTGCCTACTTGAAATGGCCAACGAAGAAAGTGACGTAATGTCGTCGGTGCGACGAAGTGTTAACGCTTTCCGACGCGTTTTCCCTACAAATTTTCCACGCCCTTTCCGGGGAAATCGCGGAGATTACATCTTACTTTAATAGCGTATTCCGCATTTCAATTCCGTGATATTTAATTAAGTAAACTTTTTGTCACACAACGAGGCTACTCGCGAAAAAATCGCAAAAAGAAGGAATTATTTTCTTCTCGCGTATTTTTCACTTACAAATAAGTTTATCTAGTTTTATTTCCAATTCGCCAAAACTGATTACTTAGAAAAGGATTTAGTTTCTTTAGATTTTAATTGCATTTAAACGTATAAAAGAATCCGTCATG